TTCAGCAGTATTATTTTTGCAGAGTGCAGAATGCTACATCTAGCACGGCAGGCTCATTTCACCTTCCAGCTTAGAAAACCAAGCCTTAAAGGCAAACTTGAAAGGGCAATTAGACGTTTCTGATTCATAGGCATCCATTGTTATTCCAATGATCACCATGGTGTGGCCGTATGGTGAACCAGGATGACTGTGACATGGTTGCATGCTCTTGAGACAAGAAATGACAGGAAAGGATTTGTCATTTGTGTTTTTAGCCACACTAACCACCCTGGTTCTAAAGCACTGCCTGTCCTCCAGAGCTCACTCAGTGTATCCAGGAGTCAGGAAATATACTGCAAGCCCATCACTGCTGGCCAGAAAACCACAAAAAGACACAACAGTTTAACAAACTTTGTCATGACTCTGACATTATGTTCCTTCAAATGACCACTATCCTTGTTTCTGTCCCAAAGCTAATTTCTCTGTAATAAGGTCACTTTGAAAAAGGTTGGTTCACTCTGTTACAGTTGCAAAGACTCTCTGCTGCTGCAGTCCCTTATTTATCAGCTCTTCCCAGTAACTTACTGGCAAGTCATTTAAATAAGGCAGTTAATTATGCTGTGTTTCCATTAGCAAGTTGTTTCCTTGACAGCTCCCACTCACCACTTTCAGGACTATTCAGGTTCTTTATCTTTTTAAAATAACTTAGAAAGTATCTAATAACTGCCTCTCACATTAAACCAGTCTAAGAATAATTTGCCAATCATAATTTGCCAAGAAGACTGAGCTAGCTACAGGGCTGCCATAAACAGAGGCAGCTCACAACAACTCTTGACTTCAATATTAGTGTAGTAAGTCTGAAAGATAAAGATTCCAAAATGCTGTTGCTCCCCAGCAAATGCTTCTGGTGCCCAAGTCCTTTTCTAGGATAGCTTCCTTTCAGCAGGGAAGAGAAAGCACCAGGGATGTAAGGCTGGCCATGGACACTGTGGTGTCAGCCTTAAGTCCATGCTATGGCATAAGTCTTAAAACTGCAGAGTGAGGTGAAAGACCCGGGCCAGACATGAAAAGTGGGTCTTCAGCATGGGCCATACATGTGTCATACATAGCACCTGTGTTATTCTCATTACATTTATGTGTGAAACAGGGACCTTCGTCGCCTACCCTACCATTCTTTGTTACGGTAACACCACAGAAGTATGCAATGAAGCTAAGCAGACCCAAGGGATAAACCAGGTATGCTACTGCCTTTACATTAGGCAGTACCAACAGGGACAGCCGCCCACAGGGAAGAAGTCAAGAAACTAATTTGGGAATAGGAGGCACAAAACACATGATGGAGCTAAACAGTTCTCAAAGGTACTGACATTAAATTAATGACCTGACAAGATGGGGCTAAAATGGTAGTGACTCACATAGCAGAACAGGAGCTGAAAATCTTTTTAGAAAAGAAAGAGACAGAATTCACCATTTGCATGACCCAGGAAACTTTAATAGCTTTGTGCTTGCTGGAGGTGATTTTTCTGTCCTGGAACAGAATCAATCAACCAGTGGAAAGACAATTAGCTTTACCCTTCTACTGAAATCCATGGATTTAGAAAAGGACTTTCAATAATAGAAAGGTCACGCCATTTCTAGACTTACAGGCCAGATCTTCTTGTAAAACTCACAAGGGCTTTCTTTTTATTCCAAAATATTAATGAGCTAGATTCCCTAGTCCTACCTTAGGCAA